TGTGCATCTACTTATATCTGCTAAATAGTAATCATAGGTCCAGATCCTGCCCTGTATTCAGAGCCTGCTGTCATTTTTGAGTAGTGTCTATATGGTTATCTCTTTTTTAGATCTCCTGTTTGTGGGACTGTATGTAGCAGATAGCACCCCAGACCCTCTTCTGCTTATATATGATAGAGATGGTCCCTAGGTAATAATGTCATGACTTATGTTTTGTGATGAAAATCTTTTATGTGTGCATCAAGTTTTCCATATTATTTGATTGCTAAATAGTAATCCTAGGTCCAGATCCTGCCCTGTATTCAGAGGCTGCTGTCACTTTTGTTATTTGATTGCTTATACATTGCTTGGCTTCCATATTATTAAGGTGTCTCTCAACATAAAAGTGACAGCAGCCTCTATGATTATGGCTTCTGTTAAGTTTATTCATCAGTCTTTTTACCTTTTATGTTCGCTGTGTAGAATTGATAATTTTTGACTAGTTGCAGCTTGCTTGTGTTCTGTCTCCGGTTGATCACCATAGCATGTACTGTAATATAACCCTTCCTGGAGCTGTTGCTTGCGCAGAATTTTTTATAGACTCTGTTTTTTGCTATGTTTCCTCTTCGTCGAGTCGATCATTCACTTTATTTTTGTTGACTCCCTTCATGTATATAATTTTTGTTTTTTAAGAACTAATATCTTGCATCATATAAATACAGTTTGTGAAATTAGAATCTCCTTCTTGTCGCAAAAGAAAGCATATGTGATTTCGCGTCATTTTTAGGCAGTGGAAACTAGCCTAAGCCTTTTAGCTGAAACCGTCCCTTGCTCCTGCACAAGATTTGGAAGATACTCTATTATTTTCGTTTGTCAGACACTTATACGCTTGAATTTATTTTAAGTTAATTGAGTAGAGACGGTCTTGAACAGATGATTCAAGGAAAAGAGTGGCCTGGGAGTGTCTAGTTATCAGATATGTGCTTTTCCATTTTGGTTTAGGTTGTTTTGTTATGCTTAGTCAGTATTGTGATCCATGCATAATTTGTATTTGTAATTTCAGTCAATGCTTAGTCTGAAAGTAGTCTGTTGTCCATCCGGTTTCAGGCCGCCCGTTTTTGGTCCTTTGAGGAAATGCTTGCAGTGACCCTGTCCCTTAATTTTTTTTCTGTTCTCAGGATTTTTCTTGTGAGCTATGTGGGAACTTTTGCCATGGCGGTGCTGACAACAACTTCAAGATCGACATTCGTGATGAGTTCCTGTCTAAAGCGGTAATTGGTCTGATTTTTTTCCATGTGCAATTTTTTTCTTTTTTGCTTCATATCAGCTTTTTCTTTAATATGTCAATTTTTTTATCGCTGTTTGGAATGTTATCGTCGGTGATGACTTGGGACTGGGGAAGACCATGCAATTAGGGTTTCTAGTTAAGTCATTGGTTATACTGTCATATCATTGTTTTGTTTGTTCTTTTCAGAATAGTTTGGTTGAATATGTCATTGATAGTTCTGTAGTATCTTAGTTTTTTAACGAAATTGTTATCTTGATTGTACAAGTTATGGTCAAAATGCTTTGCATATTTTGCCATGGATGGTTGCGCTTTTTCTGTATTCAGTTATGTATTTTTATGTTATGTACAGTTTCCTAATTATTTTTTCTCTTTTTTTTGTAGACTGTCCCATGCAATGCAAGAGTCTATGTCAATGGCGTTACCGGCGACTACATGCGTTTTGAAGCCCATGGACACAAGTACTCTGTTGATATTGTGAAGGGGGCACACAGGACCAGGATCAAGGGGAGTGGCTGGAAGAAATTCACTTCTGACTTTTCTCTTCAGAAGGGTGCTGTGGTCATTTTTGACTTGGACAGGCGCCCCCGCCAGGCATATGTTGTTGTTCAAAGTGGTGACTTGGACACAGTTGAAGGGAGCTCTTCAGACGGGGATGCTGATGAAGAGATGATAGATGGAGACATTTCAGATGTGGATGAAGACGGTGGCAACATAAAGATTGAGTATACAAGGGGTCTAACTCTGAATGATGCCCAGCAGGACATTCTCGATGAACTGGTGCTCAGCTTCAAATCCAAGTTTTTAGGAGTGTCTTTTGTACACTGTCTTACTTCAACTGACACTCAAGTTGGACAAATGGTAT